GGGATTATATAGGGTTTATTTAGGGTTTAGGGTTTAGGGTTTAGGGTCTAAACTCCTTAAAGGGGGATTATATAGGGAATTATATAGGGGACTACTGTAGGGGTTATTAGGGGGGATACTAGGAGTTTAGACTATAGCTCATATCAGCTTGACTAAAAGGTTGAGCATGATTTACCACAGCAATGCGTTTTGGGACAGAACCTAGACCCTTAACCTAGGGGTTCGGAGATTTTGCTAAACCCTGAGGCCCCAGCTATCGCCAGTCCAGAGCCTGAAACGAAATCCTTTTATAACTTGACTCTCCAAAGATTATGTGAGGGCTTACAATGCTGCAGGGCGGATCGTAGTCAAAGGCAAGTTTGGCGTCCATGTAGTCCCCAAAACAGCAGCTGGCTAATTCAAGCTAAGCCCAAAACTCTATTCCTCAGGGGGTTTTCGGAAGCCCAACCCGCCAAATCCGGACCTTCTAACTATCATAGTTGTATAGCATGATCATAGTTTTGGAGTTGGGGTTTCCACAGCCCTTTGACTACCTATACTGCTGACTTCGGGAGGCAGAGCAGTCTCAAGCCCCAACAATTATCTGCAGGCAGGGGTGCAGGGGGGTTCGGGGGCGGCGTGGTCCCAGCGTCCATGGTTGGCTTTTAATTGGTCTTTGAATTCAGGGTTCAGTCATCCCAAATGGCGTTTATGGGTGTTTTGGGGGTTTCCGGGATATTTAAGGCTCCTGCAGACTTAGGGGAAGTTGACCGCAACAATGGAGAATCAACTGGAACAGAAAGTTGACCCTGAAGTGGAATCTGGGTTTTTGTAGCTTATCTTTCGGTGTACTCTTTGGGCCCAATGAAAGTCAAGCCGTCGCAGAAGCAGTGGCTTTGATTCTGAGGCTTGCTTTGGCCCCGGGAGATTAGGGTTTAGGGTTTAGGGTTTAGGTCTGTGTGGTGGGGCTCAGGAGATGATGATGTGAGGATGTGACAGTTTACTGTATGACCCAGCATGGTCAACTTTAACCAGCTTCCATCGACCTAGGGTTTAGGGTTACAAGCTTCCCCCAAATCTTATGCCAAGCTCGAACCCTCGGCCGTAATCCCCCCCCTAAAGCCCTAGGCCCCCAGAGAGTTGTAGCCACGAGCTGCAAACCTTAATGCCACAACTCTGGGCCCAAAGGGTTGAAGGGTTCAAGGGTTTAGGGTTAAGGGCCTTAAGGGTTTAGGGGTTTAGGGTTTAAGTTTTAGGGTTTAGGGTTCAGGGTCTATGGTTGAGGGTTTAGGTTTAGGGTCTAGGGTTTAGGGTTCCTCCAGGCCCTTCAAACCCTTTGCTCCTGACCACCTGGTGCTTAAGGAGAAGTTGCGGAGTGGCTCCCTATAACAATCCTTGTAGAATACTTTGCAATATTATACCTTTCTTCACTTCTTCGCGACTCCCCCTGAAGCACCAGCCCCATACCTAAACTCTAAACCATAAAGTAGCTTCGGTCTCCCTTCTACTCCCACACTACGACGTTAAGCAGCCGTATACACTCAAGCACCAACGAGCCCCAAACTCTAAACTCTAAATAGTAAACCTGCAATATGCGTATAGTCTTTTACCTAGGCTCCACGGATTTGACGCCCCTAGCTCATGCTTGCACTAGTACAGGTGCGATGGCATGATTATAACATGTAGACATACTGGCTTCCGTTGTCTTGTCCGTTTTCCCACTTCTCCTATTCCAGACCCCAAGCCCTGAACCCAAAGTCTTAAATCCTTATAATAACAGACCCTAGCCCCCGAACCCTAAACCCCTAAACCCTAAACCCAAGCACCTGAACCGTACACCCTAAACCCTATAGTAGTTTCCATTATCTTCTCCATTATCCCCTATACAACCCTTATATAACCCCTATATAACCCTTATGTAACCCCTATATAACGCCTACATGACCCCTATATAACCCCTATGTCTCCAAGCAGAAGCACGCTCGGAGGCGGCAGTCTGCAAGGTGGTTCGAGAAGGCGGAGGTTCTGGCACTCCTCCACCCAGTCTGGGGCTTAGGGTTTAGGGTTTAGGGGTTTAGGGGTTTAGGGTTTAGCGTTTAGGGCTTAAGTCAGCTACAATGAAAAGTCCAAAAAGGGGGAGTATATAAGGGATTCTATAGGGTTTAGGGTTTAGGGTCTGAATCCCTTAAAGGGGGGTATGTAGAGAATTCTATAAGGTTTAGGGTTTAGGATCTAAACTCCTTAAAGGAGGGGCTATACGGGGGATTTCATACGGGAGTATTATAGGGATTATTAGGGGGAGTCTAGGAGTTTGGACTAGAGCTTGTGTGTTTGGGATAATACATTGGGGAACCTATAGAATTTGGGCCTGATGATTAGGGTTGAGGGTTTAGGGTTTAGAGTTTAGGTGACTACATTGGGGAACCTATGGGATTAGGGTTCAGGGTTTAGGTTATTACATCAATTGGGTAACCTACAAAAAGAGGTGTTCCGTTCAGCGATTCTGAGGTGCCATTGGTTGGATTCTTTAGGCTGTTTGGGGCTTGGACATGGGTCGGCTTAGACTGGGCCCCGCATACTTGTTGTTTCGTTGCCAGACGTTTGCAGAAGGGTGTTGGGTTTTGATTAGGGATTTAGGGTTCGAGCTCAGGATGTGGAGGGTTGTGTCATCTCCTCAACCATGTTTAAGGATGGTTTCCGGTTTAGGGCCCTAGCCCCCAAGCCCTAAACCTTGAAAAAAGCAAAAGCGCCTGGCAAGTCTTATTATCCTGGGTTCTCTTATTATAACCACGGTTTTTAAACCATCCTTTGTGCGCCCCTCCTGAAGGTTAGGCTTGCGTAAGGATGGCTTCAAAGAGGGGATTGGGGGTTGGGCAGGCGGTGGTGGTGGTCAAGGCGCCCATATATTAAACCTCCAACGGAAGTACTATTTATAGACTTTAGGACTCAATGTAGCATTTACAGACTGAGAGCCCCTGCAATAGCCAATATCCTGAGACAGTTTCATGAAGGCGTGTGTTGATATGTATGTGTATATGCCTCGCAGTCCAAACTACCGTTTACAGGAGCTTGGTCTAGGCGGTAGTTGTTGCGGAGAAATACCAAAGATCGATAGGGGACGTCCTACCCTAACCCTAAAACCTAAACCCTTATGGATATCTAAGAAAGAGCCCACCTCGCGTATGCATGTACGACTACCAGAAGCACAGAAAGAGCTTTCTGCTGATCAGTGATGCCACTTCTATTCACTGTCCAGACCCTACACCCCTAAGCCTTAAATCCCTAAATCCTGAACCCCTCAATCCTAAACCCCTACACCCTAAACCCCTAAGCCAGACCATGTAATGCTTAAACTCCATGCCTTCCGCAGGGTGTATTTTTTCCCCTTAGGGTCCAAGTACCTAATAATCATATGGGTGTTTGTCAAAATTATGGTCTTTTTTGGATCCCTATTATAATGCGGCACCTAATATTTCGGGCACCAGACAACCACCCAGATTATACCCAAAACTTGCATTATAATTATTATTACCCAAGACTGGAAACTACTATGGTGTATTAGGGGATAGTGGAAAACAAAATGGAAAGTATTATTACTACTACTATTATTCTTATTTCTACTACTACTACTACCGCAGTATATCCTAAGTACCTAATTATTGTGTACTTGGACCCTCTGGGTTCGTTTCTCTGAGATCATGACACACCTGTCGGTCCCAGGACCTTCCTGTAGCATTAAGCCTCCAAATCCTAGATCCTGAATTAATTTTGGGCTTAAACCCTAAATCCTAAACTGTTTTGGGGTTTCAACCCTAGGCCCTAAACTAATCTAGGGTTTAAACCCTAAACAGCTGAACTAATTTAGGGTTTAGCGTGTAGCATTGGGTGCCCGCACCCTTGTGTGTTCCAACACGCCTTGCTTCGCTTCTTGCGCCCATGTTTAGCCGCGTGTGTGCTTGCTTCCCAACCCTGAACTGGCATCGCCCTTGCACACGAAGAAAAGGACTTTAGGTTTAGAGGTTGGGGCCCTGGGTCACCGTTTAAAGTTGAGTTGATTTGCGCGTCCACCAATCTCGTTTGGTGCCACATGGTTGGATTGTGATCCCTATGCACGCGCACATCTGTTCTGAGTTCCCTCTTGGCGTAGTGGCATTTTGCCTGTTCTGCACAAGAAAGCCAGAAGAACTCACACATTTTCCAATGCAAAAGACAACACCACGTGCTGGATCCCCCTTCAAGTAGCCCCAATCTCATCCACCAAAATCCGGTAGCGATAATTTGTCCAATCTCTAAAGCTTGAATCCTAAGCCCATACACTAAGCTCTAATCCCTAGAGCCTAAATTCTAAGCCCCAACCCTCAGCCGTAAACCCTAAACCCCAAATCCTAAACCCTAAACCGCAAACCCGAAACCCTAAGCCCTATACATTAACAACCAGCAGAGCCATGCCTCAGAATGCTGGGCGCATTCTTCTTCTGTGCGGCCTTGCGGGTTCCGGCAAGACCAGCACGGCCAAGACACTGAAGAAGGACTCAGTGGAGCCTACCTGGTCCCGAAAAGTATGTAAAACAATGGCCTAAGAAGGACTCAGTGGGGCTTACCTGGGCCCAAAATTATGTAACGTAATGGCCTTTATGGCTGTTATTATGGGCCTGGGGCTATTATTGTACATACTTTTTTGGGGGGTCTGGGTAAGCGGTACGGGCACCATCATATGTACAGAGATCTGATGGAGATATATTTACAGAGATCCCCTCCCCCAGACCCCACACCCCAGAAGCACCAGCCGCAGGACCATGGATGGATCTTCTTTGAGGGTGACGTCTGGTCTTGGGGCGATGCCGTCGCACAGGCAGAGGATACCCCAACCCATGAGATGATCACGAAAGCCATGGAAAATGTCGAGAAAATGAAGGCCGTCATGGCAATGGGTGCAGAGTTCTATGCTAAGGTGAACACTGGTGAGGAGGGGAACTATGAAGTTGCAAATACTTTTTATGACATGATGATGGCTGACGTGCTCAAGGTGCACCAGGAGAATCCCGGAAAGGATGTTGTGGTGGTACATGCCATCAACCACAAGAAGATCCGAGATCACATCTTCAAGTGCCTTGAGAAGAACGGTAGCAATGAGGTCTTTATAATCTGCCTTGATGTGCCTCACCCAGTCCTCAAGCAGAGGAACCTTAGTCGCCTTGAAGCTCGCGCCAGGGCCGATGGTAAGACCTTGCATGAGTTCATCATGAACTTTCCTGGTAAGAACCTTCCTGCTGAGTACGAGGCTCGTTTCGAACAGCTTACCAGCCCGGGTGCCCTGCAGCTGGAGCCTTTAGGCGAGGATGAAAGGAATGTCCACTTCGTATCTGTTGCTGCTGATGAGGAACCATCTGCTGTGGACAAGAAGGTCCTTGACGTACTGCGTATAGGAGCCTGAATACTTAGCAAACAAGGGGTTCCACATCATCTCTATTCACTTGCAACTGCAAAATGCCGCCCAATACACCTATTCGACTACTTCAGGTTCCTGCCTTACTTAAGCAGTAGAAGGGTGAGATACGGTGAGTGATGAGTCCCTGCACCATGCTGAATAAAATGCGGGTTTCCCATGATTCAATGGAGGCTGATCTCACCAGCAGGCTTTTGCAGGTTAACCGTTGAAGGCTTTTAGCGCTTAAGATTTAGCCCTAATGGTCCATGTACCCAATAATTGAGTACTTAGGATTTGGGGCACTAGTATTGTAGTTGTTTATGGAGTTATCGAGCTTTCAGTTCAATGTAGAGTCTAAGGACTTTAGGAGGGACCTCTAATAGGGACCCTTGTAGCTTCTGGGGGTTAATATGGGGACTATTTAGGGATATAGGGGTTATACAATGACTATATAAGGGTTATATGTGGTAATGGGATTAAGGGTCCCTATTAGGGGTCCCTCCTAAAGTCCCTAGATAGAGGGCTTACCTGGACCCCCAAAAGTATAAAGATGTCCCTTTGGACCATTTTAGGGTTTCTGGACCTCTTGTTGTGTTACCTGCTTTTGGGGTCTAGGTAATGTATTCCCATGATTAATAGACCCCTCCCTTTTAAGGGCCTCAACAGTAGGATCCCTGTGATAATCCCTATTAAGGGGAGGGGTTTATTCATCAGGGGTTTACATTAGGGTTTGACGTAAAGGTGCTTGACAAAGGGAAGCAGCGGTCAATAGGATTTTGGTTCATATATTTCTCATATCCCCAATATGGGGGCTTCCCAAAATTTAGGCGTACCCTCTTTGGGGGTCCCTATAATAAGGATCATAGTATTTTGGGTCTATATTGGGGTCGCCCTATTTTGGGAAATTGCCGTACCTTCTGCATTGTTTAGCCGGCTTGCCAGGTCCCACGTCTCATGAAGGAACTTGATGTAGTAAGGGCCAATGAGCATTGATGGCAAAGAGTGCCTATATGCTTTCCAGTCTTTTTCGAAAACCAGAGGTCCCCCTTGTATACCAGAGATGCAACGGTCGCTGTTGTAAACAGGGACCCCCAAAATCCTAAGCCCAAAACCCTCAGCCCTAAACTGTAAGCTCTAGACCCCAAACCCTAAATCTTTAAAAGAATGAAAAGGACTTGTCTTGCAAAGAACCCCCTACTGTACATGCCGCAATCGTGCTGCGCAGAATCGTTAGACCACACCCCAGGGTCCTCCTGTCCGACACGGCATAACCAGAGTCTTTTTAGGGTTTATTTGGGGTTATATAAGGGTTATATAGGGATAATGGAGAAGAAAATGGCAAGTACTATAATGGGGTCATAGAGGATTTTAGGGTTTCGGGCCTAGGGTTTAGGATTTAACCAAGAAGTGGAGTTTTTATCGCTGGGTGCTTGCGATAGAGCAAAGGACACAACCGGAAAAGTCCGTTTACCTAACCCCCAACCCTAAACCCTAACCCCGCCCTGTTATTCCGCCACTCCTGAGGTAGCCTCCTCCTTTCTGGGAATAGTTGCTTGAACAGAAGCACGCGGAGGGTTTGTAGGGAGTATGGGGTATATGCGGGCAACGTACTTTTCTAGAGGTTGATTGATTTGTACGTGCAATATGATGTGGTGCAGCTTCAAGTGGTGCGAGGGTTTAAGCGAACAATGCTTCAGGTGCCGGCAAAGGAGGCGCCCAGAAGAATTACACAGGCGCGATGGGACGGACACGCCTGGGATTTGCTTTGTATGAAATTCTTGGGTGTTGGTAGAATCCCATAGTGATAGTAATAATATGTAATAATAATAGTAATAATATGTAATAGTAATAGTAATAGTAATAGTAATAGTAATAATAATGGGGCTCGAAGTCCATGCATACTACCCCAGCTTCGGCTCCCCAATCTAGAAGAACTGCAACCTGCCTTGCTCTACTTGGAGCTTTTAGGGAATGTATGGAGACACCAACCAAAAGGCTGGACATGCTTATGAAGGCCAGCAGTAGGCTCATAGTCTTGAGCTGGGCCTGGCGGAACTAGGGTTTAGGGTTTATAGGGTTTACTGCAACAGACCCCGACAGAGTGAAAATACAGTCTTGCTGGTTGGTAAAAATAGGGGATAATGGAAAATATGATGGAAACTACTATAGTATATTGGGGTAACATTGGGATAATGGAAAACAACATGGAAACTACTATTGCTGGTTGTTAGTAGGGAGTAAAGGAGTGGACCATAGAATGCACACTGCAATTTTGTTGGAGGTCAAATAGGAGCTACCATAATGATCCATTCCTTCACGTACATCCAGAAAGTTGTAGAAAAATTCTTCCTGCACCTGACCTTGCATAACCATACCTTCGGAACTACAGCATGCTTGGAATCTTAGGTGGGCAAGGTTTCCTCCATCCACCGCATGATGGGTAATGTAGAACCCTGATTAGTAAACACCCTCGCCTTACTAGGGATTATAATAGGGATCCTAATGTTTAGGCCCTGAAAAGGAGGGGGTTATGGATCGCGGGTCTACATTACTGATTGCACACACTTGATTGGCCTGCAGACTCTCTGCATGCGGAGCTTTGGGCCCCCGCTGTTCTTCCTGCGGGGCCCTTGGATCTCTATAGTACATCTGTTACGCCTGGATGGGTTGCTACATTGATGCTCGGGTGCTGTTTTGGGCGCTTAAGATCACAGAAGGAGCGGTGCTTCCGCGAGAGGGCGGCGCAAGATGCAAGATCTCCTATCTAATCCCAAGGCACTAGAGTCTAGACCCTGAACCGAGTTTTTGTTTACTAGCGTCCCGTTATCATGTCCTAAGTAAGTTGCGCAAGATGCCCCTTAAGCCCTACGCCCCACACCTTAGAACCTCAACCCTGAATGCCAGCTGGTGAATCTTAAGCGCAAGCTTTCTTTTCAAGCTGCTGCCTTGATCCTAGCTGCTGGACTGGAGCTTCTCAATAAGGCCAGCATAATTCGCAGAAGAAGGTACCCCATAATGTCTCTTATCCCTACGTCCCTGGGATACCAGGTTTTGATGGAGCTGCAAATTCGAGAAAACGAAACACTAAACCCCAAACCCTGGGACCCCAAACCCCAAAGCCCCTAAACCCTAAATCCTACCCCCCTAAACCCTAGATGTAAACTCCTAAACCCTAAAACCCTAAAACTCTAGATCTAAACTCCTAAGCCCTAAACCCTAAACCCCTAAACTCTAGATCTAAACTCCTAAGCCCTAAACCCTAAAACCCTAAGACCCTGAAACCCTAAAACTCTAAACTCCCCATGCGCGATATGGCAGGTAACCAGAGCCGACAAAGAGCGGAAGAGCTGGGTCTGATGCTGGACCCTTGGGTTTAGGGTTTAGGGTTTACATTTGGGGTTTAGGGTTTAGGGTTCTAGAGTCTAGTTTTTCAGATCATTTAGGGTTTAGAGTTTGGGGTGTTAGAGTTTAAGGGTTGAGACTTTAGGGCTTTAGAGCTTAGGGTTCTAGAGTTCAGGCGTGTTAGTGTCTGAGGGTTTAGATGTTAGGGCTCTAGAGCCTAGGGTTTTCGAGCTCATGGTTTTAGAGTTTAGGATTTAAACTTTTAGGAGTATAGGGACAGAGAACTAGGCTTAATTGGGCTTTAGGGCTTAAGATTTGGGGTCTCAAGGTTTTGGGCTCAAATCCAAGGGTTTTTCATTTTAGGGCTTAGGGTTTTTTTTAGGTTTCGGGGAGTCCCTGAACATGGTTTCCATGTCTGTTGTCTAGCTTGCATAGCCCCTTCAACAGGAGATTTTGTAGGCCCATGTATGTTTCTGTGACATCTGAAAACCATATAAAGCCACATAAAGATATACAAGCAATGTAGAAGCATATAAACCCAAAGGGATTTATGACCGTGTAAAGCCGTAAACATCCCACAGGGGCTTCCATGTGAGTTTGGGGAGCGCCACGAACTTCACAGGTGGCTTCGATCTAACATGACTCGGATGATGCCGGCACTGATTCTGCACAATGGGATTGGCCGCAACTATTTGAAAGGGGTTTTGGAGTATGCTATATCCGAATTTTATGAGCACTACAGGGGGCCAATATTGCTCGTCATTCAGGCTTCTACATTCTCTTCATATGTGCCAAATTCAAGGTGCCCCCCCCACCCCTCTCCCGCAGAGGTATTATTGTAGATGGGAAAGAGGGGCGCAAAACCCCAATCCGCAAAGCAAACAATAAAACCTAAGCCTTAAACCCAAGTTCTGAACTGTTAACTGACTGATTCTGAATAGTTGGCTGGGAAATCGATTCTTAGATTCCTTCCTACATGAGCCTTCAGAGAGCTCCCTATGTGCCGTTCCTGCATTCCCCACTAGCTGCCAGCAAGATAATCCTAAGCCCGAAGCTCTACATATTCCTACCGCCCCCCTTTTCTATTTCATCTTCCATCTTGTTTTGGATTTAATTTTCCATTCCCTACCCTAGGGACAGAGAATAACTACATGGTGTCTTAATTTCTACAAAGAATAGCTACTCTGGGGCTAGTTGGATTCCTAGGGCTACTAACCATATAGAACCTGATGATGCATGACCGCTGAAACCCAGATTTGCATAGCCCGGAGCCAAGAAGTGGCTTTCACGACTACGAGTAACTTACTTGGAGGGTCAGGGGGACTTAGTAAGTAGGTTAATAATCGGGATATTTAGGGTTACTATGTGGGCCATCGGGGTTTTTTAGCCTACTTACTAAGTCCCGCCTGACCCTCCAAGTACTGGTGCTTAAGGGGGAGTGGGCAAGTGGTAAAGAAAACGGGAGCTGAGGAGGGGTAGGGGAGTGGATCCCCATTGAGACCCTAAACCCTAGACCCTAAACCCAAGGGTAGCTTCACTCCCTCCCGCACACCCTTATCAAGCACCAGTGAGGTAATGGAGCCCGCTGCTAGAAAATCAAGCACATGGCGCTGTGCGCTGCTTCAGCGCTTACTTGCGGCGTTGTTCAGTTGCCCATATAATGT